AATTTCAAAGTCCTCTATTTTCTATTGAAAAATTGTATTTTAAAACATGCCTTTGGGCCATATAGACCAGGCATCTGCAGTCAGTAAGCTAAATCTAGCCTTTTGATTGTGTAAATAAAGTGTTATTGGGATACAGCCATGCACATTCCTTTATATATTGTTTCTTGCTTCTTTCATTGTAAAACAGTAGAGGTAAGGAAGTTATAAAGAGAGATCTAAGGCCTGAAAAGACTTAAAGATTTACTACCTAGGCCTTTATAGAAAAATTTTTCTAATCTTTGGTGTAGACTTAAGAATAGGGATACATGAATATACATAACTTCCTTGCTATCATCCCTAGGCATTTATTATAGGTTCTTGGGGCCTCAAAGTCAGATTCAAAAGGAAAAATGATTGGTTAAAGAAGAGGGCAGGGCATGTAATTATTTATCTAAACTTGTTATGTTTGGGGCAATATGACTAAAAGTTAATCAAAAATATTTCCTTTGTCACATTAATATTCTTCTCCATAAAAGGTGTAATGCAGAAGTCAGTTTTCTTTAGTCAGTTCAAGAACCTCAAGCTAGCTTAAGGGGGGGAACAAAAACAGGGTCAGGGTGGAGAGTGAGAGTTATTAGTAAGTAAAATGAAATGAAATCAGAACTTGGTAATTTGAATACCATTCGTTTATGAAATCTCTTAAATTTCTCTTTTTCTCACTCCTCTTCATTTTCCCCATTCCTGCTCCTTTACTACGCTGCTTCATTCTTCCTGCTGCAACTGGATTTTCTCCATGAGATGAGGAGTATGAACTCCTGACAACTCTGGATGTACAGGATTCGTGGCATTGTCAAAGCAGCCATAAGCATTTCTCTCATCCAGCCTCTGTAAAAATCCCTGAGTGAGAGACTGTAGGGCTGCTTTCGTACAAGCTCCCTCTCCTCTGTCAATTTCCATGGCCTAACAGTGATGGCAAACCTTTTAGGGCTTTCAAGGATAACCGACAGCTGGAAGTGGCATGTGTGCCATAGGTTCCCCACCACTGGTAGATGAGGCACAATGGTTGGTCAAGCTCAGGTCTTGGGCCCACTCCTGTGGTTACAGAGTCTTATACAAGTGAAGAATGAAAAAGAACATGGTATGCAGACAGATGGACAACAGTGGTGAGTACATAGCCTGCTCCACCATTTCAACTGGCCCTTTCATCACAATCTTGAATCAAGGAGTTTCCAAAGAGATACTGCATTTGTTCAACTTAGGTAGGCCTCCTATGACTTGTTATTGATTACTAAGTATTTATTCTTATTCAAAACTCCATTCACCTATTTCTCAAAAAATTCTTTATTCCATATGCTACAATTAATGCTTCAAGAAAGATAGAAGTACAATGTTACATCTTCTTCTCTTTCTTAGGTCAAATGACTCTGATTTCTTGGGTGCTGCTAAAGATCCTGTGCCTGAGACCTCATTCTTTAGACAGTCTGAGAAGTATAAGATATTCATTTAACAATTACTTATTGAAGATATTCATACTCTGTCAGTTTGTGGACTACAAAGGTAAACAAGAGAAATGTTATCTCCACTCTCAGAACATAGAAGCCAAGCAGAAAATAGACAAGGTTATAGACTGCTTCCATGCACTGTGTTATGAAATGGCTGATATGGATGCTGTAAAAAGACAGGAGCTATGCGAGCCAAGCTTAGGGGTGGGTTGAATAAGAAATAGACCCTTCACAGAGGAATATCTAAAGGGAGCCTCAAAGCAATCAGGCAGGCAAAGGAGGGAGAGTGAATAAGTATTGGACAATTCTTTTAGGGGGGGAATTCATTGCAAATATACCATGATACAAGCATGATGATTTTAAAGGATTAAATATTTAGATATCAGGAATCTTCAGGTGGCAAGTGACAAATCCATTTCCAACAACATCAAATAAAAAAGTGTGGGAAGATTTAAGAGACTGGAAAATTAGCTTAACTCTTACCTCTACCTCTTGCCTGTTTGTTTTGTTTTGTTTTGTTTTGGTACCAGGGATCAGACTCGGGACCTTGTGCTTGCAAGACAGGCAGCAGAACCACTGAACTAAATCCCCAGTCCCTAAAATTGAGAGGTTTTTTGGTTTTGGGGGGGATTTTTTGGTACCCGGGATAGAACTCAGGTTCGTCGTCTTGCGAGGCAGGCGGCAGAGCCACTGAGCTAAATCGCTGGCCCACCTCTTGCCTCTTTTGATGAGTTATATTTATTCTCTATTTTTCCCCACACAACTAATAAATGAATACTGTAAGCCAAATTTATTAATCGGTAGTTTTCCCACTGGAGAGAAAAGAGGAACTATTTTCTATTTGCTACAGCCTGAAAAAATACTACGAATTGTGCAATGTATGAGATTTTACCCACCATAGAAGCTAACAGCCTTCTACTTTTATGGCTGGGGTAGAAGGCTGGGGCAGAGACACAGGATTTTATTTTGCATGGCACATTGGGCAGCATGAACTTCATGCTCCTATCAGCTCCCCTTGGCTTCCAAGTGTCCTGAGGATGCTAAGTGAAAGTCATGCACACAATGGGTTGGTATCGTTGCTGAGGATCCCTGAGCTTAGAAACCCCTCATTTTATAGAAGAACTGTAAGCACACCTTTCCAAACTTTGCCCTGCAGGGATACAAAGAAAAACCTTGCCCTCTGAAGTGAAGAGAGATATTGCTAGCTTCCAAAGCTGTTTGGTATATAAATATCCCACTAAAATAGTCCAGGATAAAAACTGTCACAGGATGTGTGGGAATACCATAGGACTGCCCTCCAACAAAAACTCCCAGAAGAATCAAATTGGTGTTTTATGTCACCTGCCTGTCCTGAATCATGCACTTTTTTTCAAGGAGGAGAGGAATAATATTGGGTCTGCTAAAGTCAATTTCCCATTCATAGACTAGGGTCAAGATTGGTTACCAAGTCATTAGGAAAAGAATGTGCTTGACAAAGATAAATCACATTTATTATGATTCAATAAGAGTATGTTACCAAGCTGAAGACATAAAATGGGGGTCCTATCATGAAGAATTATGTAGGTCATGTTAAGTTTGGAATTTTTCCCGTGTAATAGCAATTTGTTAAAATTTTTAATAAGAGGGGCATTAATTTTATCTTCAGCAAAATCATACTGGCACAGAATTTAGGGATCAGAAGTCAGTAAATGTCCTCATGAGTTAGCAAACTGTCCAGGAAAAGATAACTGGGACCTGAAGATAAACTGGGATGTAAAGATACCTGGGATTCTTCGACATGGGGGATGGAGCCAAGTGGCCTGTGAAGATATTTTATAGTAGCTATAGAGTGGGAAGACAGAATTAAGGATGAACTTTATGTTTCATTTAAGGAAACTTAGTGATTTGAGACAGAGATCTTAGAAAAAGAGAAGCAGGGTTCAGGTGGGGTCTGAACCAGGTCCTTCAAAGCTACATCTCTGCCTCATTTTTAAAATTTTGAGATAGCATCTTCCTAAGATGCCCAGACTGGCCTCAATATTGTGCTCTTACTGTCTCAGCCTCCCAGAGTGCTGGCATGAGGGGTATGCCATCGTACTCAGTTAATTTTATTTTTCAGCACTGGGGATTTGTTATAGATTGGGTCTAGATGTCCCCCCAAAGCCTCATGTGATCACAGGCTGCATCTAGAGTGTGTGAAGCTGGAATTGATTCATGATGCAATGCTAGGCTCAGGGGCACTAGGATTAAGGGTGTGAGTGCTAATGGCTCTAGGCAGTCTGAGTAAAATAAAAGGGGCAGAGAGACGTTAACCTCCCCTTTGTTACCTTTGCTGCCTTGTGTGTGCCATGTTGTTCCTGCTCTGCCATGCCTGTTTTCATCCCTGCCTTGGAGTTGGCCAATTATGGACTGAAACTTCTACAAACTGTAAGCCAAATAAACCCCTTCCCATTTAACTTAGAGTGTCCAGTATTTTTCTCAGGAATGAGAGAAAAGTAACTAACCCAGGATTTAACCAACCCAGGGCCTTGGCACTGGGTACATTCCTGGCCCATTGTTATTTTGAGACACGGTCTCAGTTGCTAAGGTTCCCAGGATGGCCTCAAACTTGCCATCCTCTGGCATCAGACTCCCAGAGCACTGAGATCACAGGCCTGTGCCACCAGACCTGGCTCTAACTCACCCTTAATGGCTGTGCAATCTGCTACGATGTGGATGTGGATATATCACAAGGTAAACAAAGAACTAAAAATAAATGGCAAAATGGAGAACTCAAGAGGTGTAAAACATGTTAAATGACCCAGAAGAAAAAGTTCTTCATCAACATGAAAGGAGAACTGTGGGGATTAACGTAAGTCCTTCCACTGTAAAGGCATTTTATATGTGCCAGTGATTTTCAGTACTGAGAGCAAGTCACTGGTACTCATGGCTGATGTTATGGTCTCTATGCCTATTTCTTTTCTGGTCACTCTTGTAAATAACCAGCCATTATACTTGTACAATCTAGTTTCTTTGTGCTGCACTTTACTCATCCCTAATAAACGTGGTCTCTTCTGATTACATCACTGATACCAAATCTGCTGAGGTGTGGTTGCACCAAGTCACAAATTGGCAGGAGAGAAACAAGTGACTTTATTTCTGCACAGCTCATTAATGTAGATCAGCTCTAAATTTTGGTTAGAATGGCCTTCTAATGGCACCATACATAGACTGCAATGCTTTGTGATTGTGTCTTTCCCATTGGAATGTGACTTTTTTGTTTGTTTTTTGCCTGCACATAAGACTCCCTTATATTTTCTACCCCTATCTCTTTTTCTTTCTCCAAAACTTTCTAAAATACAATAAAAATTCTCAGCTCTTTCTTTAGGTAAGGGAGAAAAGTCAAGTGTCATCCCAAGTTGAAAAAGTAAGAAAAATAAGAGCAGGGTGGGAAAGGCATTTTATAATTGATATTGGTACATCTTAAACTTTTTCATCCTATGAAAAAGAATTGAAGAATGTTACAAGACCAGAAACTAATAAAAAAAGTCACCTACTGTACAGATTTACTACTTGCTTTTTATAGCTTTATTGACTATTACCAAGTTTTAATATGTTTCAAATAATTAAATATTGCAACTGGGACATTAAAAATACAAACTAATTTACCAAAATAATTGTATTTTGAATATTATGTACAATATTATACATTTTACATTACATAAAAAGTTTTTATACATAAAGGTAAGATTTGATTTATGATTATTGGAAACCCAAAATACATTTGAACACAGTATTCCTATGCATACATACATAATTGCTCACCTGGGATAATCAAAACTATACATGAGTGTGGTTATTAGCAAACAAAATTACATTCATACAATAATAGCAAAAAATGGAATTTGTTTATATTATTTTGAAAGCCTTATTTTAAAACCACACATATGAACTATATAACCTAGTTCTGTATATTTAAATTTTTTGTCTGCAACTAAAATGTCTTTATTTCAGCAGAAATTTTTAATTTCCTCTTTAAAGGGATCTATTATAATTCATATTCATTAAAATACCTTGTATGTAAGAAGAAGGCAAACTGATTCTCAGCAATAGAAAAGCCACAAGGGTCTATCATTCATATCTACTTGCAGAGTACTGCAGTTTTCACTACAGAGGTCTTTCATGTCCTTGGTTAGGTTAATTCCTAAGCATTTAATTTTTCTGGATACTACTGTGAAAGTTATTATGCCATATAGTTTTGAAAAATAATCCTATTAAGTTGTACAGTTAGGTATGCCTTCATATTCATAACTGTCATAAAAGAGACTATATATTGAGGCACAGAGCTTAGCTTAAAGGAGAAATATATATTACTATAAAGAACTAGCTACTGAAATAAAGATATAACTAAGTGACTTCAAAAAACATATTGCGAATAGGTGTGCACATAGCAAACACCACAAATACCCACTAAATTAGTTTGTCATCAATCCTTCAAAAAGGTTAAGACACTGATATATCTTTTTTGAACAGTGAAATACCAGATTAAATTCAAGATATTACTACATGAGTTTTAGTACTATCTCATTTTTAACCTTCCTTTCCAGCAGAACTATTGCAATATTAAGTAATGCCATACATGTTTCTAACAGACCTAAAAATTTTGAAAAACAATGTCTTTACTCTGCAACAAAAATGGATTTTTAATTGTGTGTCACTCTCATCCCAGAAATGCAGACTGGTGAGAATTTTATCAGAACTATACATAAGAGCCTCAAAGAGAAACAATTAGTAGACTAGTCACTTTTTATAAAGTGTGTTCAGCATTTTGCCAAATTCCTTGTTATAAAATCCTGTATTTATCAAAGGCAAACAGAACATGGAAATCAGGAGACAGGAAAAAAACAACATGAGACATTTACAAAAGCAATGCTCTTTCCACATCTTATCACATGTTCCATGAAAAATAAGATTCAGAGCCTAAGGTATGTTTACTGTTTTTTTTTCTGGTACATGTTTAGCTTGAATATAAAAGAAGTTCTAACCTAAGTTATCAAAATATATTCATATAAATGTATGAGTCTTTCTAATAAAAAGTTTAAAAAGTCTAAATTCTTAATTTTTGTAATTAAATATCCTAGCATTCAGTAGGCAGATTTATTTTAGAGCAGCTTGAAAAAAATTCATTGGCTGAGCACTGCCTGGAAATTGGGCACAGCTACATTTCAGCTCTTCGATGTGATTTCTCAGCAACAGCAGCCCCGTCTTCTTCCTCCTCTTCATAGTGTTCCTCTCCACCTTTTGGGTGGTTGTCATCTTGGACTTCTTGCTCTTCTCCTCCATCATTGTTTTTATCATCAGCCTCAAAATTAGAAGGAAAAAAGAAAAACTAAGAAATGGTGTGTGTAATTAGTGATTAATAATTCTTTAAAAAATGATCCGAAGTTACTCATTTTTTGAAGTAAATATGAAAAAAAATGATCCAACAGGCAACAGTGCTGTAGCCTCTCCTAATCTTCATGTTCGTACACTTTTCCTAAATGTCAGTGGGCTGGATAAATTCAGTGGCACCTGAGAGGTGCCATTCCCTATTGGTGCCAGTCCCAGCTATACATCTATCTATTCTACACAGAATGCACCCCCTAGTCCACATACACACACACACACACACACACACACACACACACAAGTGTTCACTGGAAAGATCCATTCTACACATACGTTTTCATCATTTTCCCCATAGGTGTCCTCAGCATTATGCTCCAGTTCCCTTTTTTTCTCTTCAGTCAAATCTTCCTGAACCTGAAACAAACCACAAATACTATGAGATGCTTTCATCACTTAAACACTTGCAAGGACATGTTTTGATTTCTAGAAGCTCATTCAAAATAACAGAAACAAAATTAAACAAAAAATAAATATAAAAGAGATAAAAAAGTGTGACTTATTAGTATGAAGAAATGTATAATACATATATAACAAAAATCAATGAGATTGATTCTGAATCTAAGACTTTTATGTTTGAATTTCCAATTCCTTTAAAAAAGGATTAACTCCACAAGGACAACACCTGATGAAATTCACTTAAAAAATTAAGCATTCCCCTTTCCAAGTAGAAGAACTCTAGGAATCTACAAGCTCTGACAGAATATAAATTTTATAAAGTTCAACTCCCTCTGTCTTCAATAACTAGGCACATCCCAGGCATATAAAAATTGCTTAACAAATATTGTTAAATAAATAAGTCACTCAATGAATAAATGCAAAAATATATTCTCTCTTAATGCACAACTGTAACAAAAATTGATATATCTGTTCTATAATTAAGAATATTTCTGGCTAAAATACCTAGAAAATAGAATCATTTCAATTTCTTCATGTAATACTCCAACAAAGTATTTCAAATTCCTGTCTCTATTTAGTGTTCTAATACAACATTTCTGTTTTAGTTTTCCTTTATGTACACTATTACTACTATTTCACAATCCCCTTTATTTCAAAATGCAAATCAAAGAAAGCATCAAATTCTTTTGTGAAGTAATCCCTATACATTGTTCACATCTTATAGAAATATAAGGTAAAAACTTTTCTAACTTGCTATTTTGTAAACCTTATTATATCAAAATTTAAGTCATCTGTATTTCAAAAAACTGCTGAACGTCAGTTAGGCATAAAGTAGTGTCCAGGTACTAGAAGAAAGCTTGATCTTTTAGGACCACTGTATTACAGTAAATCTTCTTGAATGCCCCCCCCACATACACATAATACACGATTTTGGGGAAAGTAGGGGGGTAGCCATTGAAAATCTGAGAAATGGGCAATGGACAAAAAGTATGTAAGGGTTATAATTAAGGAGAAACAGATAAAATGCTACCTTCCAGGCCAGGTGAGACAGAAATGAACTGCAGCTTCCCAGATGAGCTTTGGATAGAATGTAGCCTATAAGAAACCTACAAAGGTGACCCTTCAAAGTTGCAGGAGACAGAGCTAAGACTTCATGGATCTCTTCTGACCACTCCAGATCGGCTGTATCCATAGTGCCAAATAAACACAATTTGAGGATGGAGGCATATGGCTTCTTTTGCATTTACATTTCCTGGTAAAGTGAGCTAAAGACACTCTTCTCTCACTTTATGGCTCTATCTGTGGTCCATGATATCTCCTCTGTCATTAGTCACAGAACCTCACAGTAACATTCCACAGGACATTGAGATTTCAGACTACGCTAAGATGTGACTAACTAGAACATTAAATTGTTCAAGAAGTAGACATTTCAGCAAAGACATGTCTTCTACATGCTTAACAATGAAAACATTATTTGTGAATGCTGAACATGGTGTAGCTGAGAATTGGAAAGAAGTGCTTTGAAACTGCAGTGTGGTGGAAAGAATATATAAGTCAGGAGGAAGCAAACTTTTTACATGTAAGGCCAGAGAGTAATTATTTAAGGCTTTCTGAGGCATAATGTCTCTGACACAACTTCGCAACTCTAACAATGTAGCTCAGCAACAGCTATAAACGAATAAGCATGTCTGTTTTCCAGCAAAACTCAATCCATAAAATAGGTCACATAAAATAGCCTGTAGTTGGCCAGCTCTAAGCATATACAGTGAATCAGACAGAGCTGCACCAAAACCTTGGCTCTGCAACTTTTCTGACTGTGTGAAAGATAAATCAAGTGGTTTTATTATGAAAATCTTAAGGAATGAAATAAATAAATAAATAATCATTTGATAGATATCTTATAGCCATCATCGATTTTCAAGAGTTATCTCAATGCTGCCATATTTGTATCATCTATATCTTTTTTCTTTTCATTGAAATATTCTAAAAATTTCTAGACATGTAATTTCACCTTTACATATCACAGTACAGGTCTCTAATAGTAATGGGCATCTTATGCAACCACAATCCTATTACCACATCTGACAAAATCAATAATTTCATGATATCATCTATCTTTACTGTCTATTTACAGCTGGTTTTAAAAATCTTATCAAAACAAAGGCAAATCTAACAAGGGCTTCCCTGCATTATTTTTTCCATGATCCTATCAATCTGTTCTATAGAAGAACCCACATTCTGGATTCATTTTCCTCTGTATAGTATCACTTCACTTGGCCCCCACATAATCTATATAAGGAAGTTAACTTAAAGGTATGAGTGAACTCAGGTTCAAAAATCATGGGCATTTCAGAGGTGATGTAGCCACATAGGTTTTTTTTTTTTTTTAATTTTGTTTTGTTTTTTCTGGTACTAGGGATCAAACTCAGGACCTTGAGCTTGTGAGGAGGCAGGCGCAGAGGCACTGTGGCACTGAGCTAAATCCCTAGCCCTGGCACAGAGTTTTTGATGGTCACACTTTTAATGTAGTTGAGGTTGGTCAGTGAGCTCACTTGGTGACAGCCTGGGCTCTCCGTGGTCAAGTTCCCTGACCTGTGTGGTGATATCATCCTCTGATGGCTGATGCTTAAAATCAATTGTCTTAAATAGGGGTTACAAGAACTGTGACTTTCTCATTCCCTCATCCTTTCTAGATTCACTGACTTTCTATAAAGATGTCTCCCCAATCAACTCCATGCCTACCAGGGCTATACATTTAATAATGACATTCTGTAAGGTCAGACCTAAGTGGCCTCTACTTCTGATTCTAACAATTTGTAACAAGCTGACTCACCTTGAAAATTTTAATTAACCTCTCTGAAGCTCCAATTTCTTATGTGTAAAACAAAAAAATTGGTATAGGTTTGGAGACACAAATCCTTACAAGACTTGGCTGAGAGTCTCTAGGAAATGGACACAGATACACAGCAGTATACATTAAGTGAGGCAATTCCATACCCAAATTCCATCCACAGCTGTGTGCCTAGGACAATTTACCTAAACAAGATACACGAGGAACTTCAGCCTTAACTGGGGGTGGCAATTAGGGGCATTTTGGAAGAACTCTGCTTCCTAGGCCTCACAACAGTTAAAATCAAACTTTCCAAAGGTAAGGTCTGGTCCAGGGAAGGATTCGTATTTTTCACAAACTTTTCAAGTTGATAGGTAGACTCAGCAAAAAGTGAGGTCAGCTTCCTTGAGTAAAAGTGGATGGGGTGCTGAGAATGTATGGCTTGTGAGATAATAACCCACCTATAAAATATTTTTTTCTCCATTCTTGGGATGTACTGCAGAAAATTTAGCTGGTTTACCAGTTGTCAATATAATCTTATTTGCAAATTACTGCTTTAAATTATTCTGTAATTTAGGGAACCCAAAAATGAATATTCTATAATTTTCCAGCTATAAAAAAGGTCTGTACACACATTATTTTAGTAATATATTCTTCATTTTTGAAAGCAAAAGCAATTCAAATTCATCTTGATGGTATTAGTGAAAAGGAACCAAAACAATTGGTCTTTAAAAAAGAGTCTTTCCTGGATCCCAGGATTTCTCTTCTCCACCACAACTGGTGATAATATACAAGAGGAAAAGAATCAGTAAATACTGATTAAATTTTTATGTTACCCTTCTGAATTTTTCAAAAGAAGCCAAGGTGAACCTTTTTTCTCTTAATCCCTCAAAGATTCCTGGTATCCGACATAATGAAACAAAGTAATATTAGTCTAGATATCTTGTTATAAGAAAAGACTGGATGAGTATCTTTTTCTTGCCAAATGTCTTAATATTCAAAGCTGCTGGTTTCTCTAATGCTCTCTTTCTGATAGACAGCTGAGGGGCTTGATGAAGATGAACAGCAGGATGAGAAAAGAGGGAGAATAGAAGGATCAAGCCTGTTAGAAAACAGATGACTTAGGATGTTGAGAGTGGATGTAAAGGGCAACACCCTTTTCTGCTTTCCAGATAATAAGCTCACATCTTATCTCTAAAAAGATAAAAAAGCAGTAAGAAGTAGCAAGCTGATGTAGGCCAGGGACCTGCATGTGCAGGTGAGAGCACATGCTTTCAGAGCAGGACCTTCAGTAGGGGTATGTTCAGCTGGCCAAGCCTCCCTGCTCCCAGGAGCCTCCATTCAAGCACAAAGCTGTGCATACACCTGGCTGAGAAGGCTTTAATTCAAGTGCTATTTATTGCTCTACCTAAAGACTGAACAGAGGATCTTAGCCTGATCTGTCTCATCCTCCTGAGTACTGCAGGAGTCCACACCGGAGAGAACTATGACAAAGTGTAATAACAAACAGCATTCACCCTGTTATCCAGCCTAGGAAGGCAACACCATGATAGATGCTATACAGACCTAATCAACAGTAATACCCTAGAAGTTTACAATAAAAATCAAATTAAAATGAAACGTTAAGAAATTCCATCTGAATGTATTTTAGTCATTTCAGTCCCTTAGTCCATATTTCCCTTCTCAGTTTCTGGTTTCCCATCTCTTCATTGTTTTGCTTTTTTTTTTTTTTCCTACAGGCTGGAGATGATCCAGGGCCTCAGGCCTGCCAAGCAAACACTGTTCAACTGAGCTACATCTCCAACACTTGCTACTGTTAAATTTAGTTTAGATATTGAGTTCTCCTGAGAGAAAAGGTCAAGAGAGACTGTAAAATTTATAAAAATGTTTTAGGACATTGCTGGATTCTAGCAGTCACTGTGGGGTATCCCTGTGAGGCAGGCATGGAGGTGATGTCCACTGAGGAAGCTACAGGGGTCAGTCTGCATTCCCTCAGTGTTCAGAGCTGTTCTACTCACTGTTATGAGGGAAAGAGATAGGAAAAATACTCTTATAAAGAATATATGAGTCTAATTCTTAGAAAGCCAAATGTCTTCTTAATTCTAAATCTCTGGCAAGAACCAAAAAGATGGATTCTATTACCTTAGTTTTACCTTCTAAGAAAATGGTTCTACTACCACCCTTCCTTATTTACTTGTTTTTCTGAACATTTCTGTAGCAAACATGTCAAAAGTCAGTACTGCTGAGGTTCAGTTAAGGTTAGTGTGACAGACGCAACAATTTGATCCACCTCCTGTGATCTTACTACCTCCTCCTCTCCCTCTTCCTGGTACTGTTCATCAACATTATCCTCCTGCTGGTCTGGATTTCCTGCCATCTGTTGAGACAAAAGAGGAGGCTCATGTTACTGTACATTGGAGATGCTTTTTACAGTACCCTGGGACAAAGAACGGGCATGCCACCATGAAAAGCACACTTGTAATACCTCGGTGGCCAGGAAATGATGACTAATCATAGCATTTCAGATAATGGCCTAAAACCCACAAAAGTGGCAAACCTTCTCCCAATGTAGATTATGAATAATCTTTTATTTAAACTAGGCATTCACTAAAATACTAAGGTTAAATCCACCACTGGTAGTGGGATCTGCTTACCACCAAATGTTCTTCCATTTCCGCATTCTCTTGCTTTTGATCACTTTGTTGTTGCTCTTCATTTTCATCAGGCAAATTTTCTTCTCTCACTTGCTCTGCTTCCTCAAATTCATCTTCACCTTGATTATTTGGGTCATCCGCTGGGTTAATATCCTCTACAGCTGCCCTCTATAAAAGTTTAATAAAACCAACCAACACTTCAAAACTGAGGATCAAGTTTAATTTCATTTAAAAGGTCACACACTGACAAAAATGAAATCGGTCCTCCATGGATTGTTCAGATATATCCTTGCCAAGACTCACAAGTATCAAGCATCTTACTGTCAAAAGATAAACTCCTGCTTTATTTATCAGAGGTTGAGAATCAGAATGAAGCACAAATAATATTTCCTTTCTGCAAATGATACCCACATTGTCCTCAAAACTCTGCTAAAACAACATGAGCATAACAGAATAGACAACAAGAAAAATAGCTAATAAAACTCAAATGACCAGGGAGGAGAAAAACATCAATATAAATTAGGATGGGAGATTTAGATGGGCAAATAGTAACTCCTTTATCTGCTATGTTGATTTTCATACAGACAACTTGCCTTTGCAAGCAATTTTTAAAAGATAAATGGTAAAAGTAGTCCATAGGAATCACCAGAAATGACCTAAGAAGAGATTCTGATAAGGAGAAAGACAAGAAAACGGCTAACTCTACAGTCAATCATCCATTTATAGTGTGGACCTCAATTCTTTATTAAGAAACACTACCATGAAACTAGAGCTGTTGCACTTGCAAGCGACAGGAAAAAATTGCTAACCAATCTTTGGCAATATATTACAAAAAATATGCTCCAAGCCCCACCCTTGGTAGTTCTCGGGTCTTGAGTTCAACAAATGCTCTGCAAATGGTTAACTTTAGAATTACTTCAATTTTCTAGTTAAACTTCTAAATAATATAAATCCTCACAAAGATTCGGCTTTTAAAGCCAGAAATGGGCAGAAATAGCAATGCTTATTATGAGTTTCACCAATCCCTTCCAGGTCATCTACGGGACACTCACTAAAGGGGCAACTGCTTCCAAGAGCTGCTAACGCCAGAGAAGGAGTCAGCCTCCCTTCACTGTTCTCCAAAGGAAATTCTGCTTTAATTCACTTAAGAGCCTTGAACATGTTCAAGAGCTCACTACAGTCTCAGCAGATCTATTATCTGCATATTCCTGGCCACAAGCTTCATTCAAGTGTAAATGACACTTTTCTCAGGAACAAAGAGGGGCAAATCACTGCCTTCACACTAAACTCCACAATCTTACAGTTTTCTGTTTGTGCGGTATCAATAATTTATGTAAGAATATAAGAAAAATGTAACCTGTTCTCAGAAAAACATACCAGTTTGCTACAGTTCCTCAAAATGTACATACTAACACCAACTCCAAGGAAATAATCAGTAAGAGTTAATGGGCACAATCGCTTAATTTATAATAGTTACAACAGTGAGAGACAAACAGGTCCAACAATTCTAATTAAAAAAGCCCTGGTAGGGGCTGACAATTTCTTTTTAAAAGAAGGTCTGGTAGAAAGGCTAATGTTTCCCAGTATGTTTCTCAGAGCAAATAGACAACAGGAGAGTAAAGATTCATACAGGAAAGTAACTAAAATCTATGGCAGTTTGCAAGTTCAAGTGATGTAGTACTCACCCTTTCCCTTTCTCCCTCATTCACACACACTCACAGGCTTTACACACTTGCTTTCTTGCTTTTGTAGGACATTCTCTCATTCTCTCACATTCTCTTGCTAGCTCTTGCTCTTTTCTGAAAATATTTCAGGGCTAGGTTCTCTACTGGATATTTTCCTAAACACTAATTCAGGAAAGGTGTTCTACCACATCTTGGTACAAATTAAGTGGAAAACTTATTTCCATCAAAGGACTTCAAGCAGTAAGCAGAAAGACTTTCTTGATGATTATCAAGGAAAGACATGGATCTTCCTTTCAATTCTCTGGCTCAATATAAACAGAGCCTGTGTGACAGCACAGACTGAATGTTATGAACGTGGAGGTTGATTCATTAGGAAAAGATGATAACAATGTTAAAATAAAATTAATCTATGCTTAATCTGAGAACAGGCTCACTTAACATTCACTTGCCTTGCTTGAAAGAAGAACAAGGCTTTAGTCTACCCAGGTGAGGTGTTTTTTGGTAATGACAAAAAAAAAATGCCAATTGTTGTGTCTACTTACTTATAATCTAAATTTTCATTACCATCATGGTATTTCAGCACCTCTTTTCAGGTCTGAAATCATACATTCTTATGCACGTATTTATTAAACTGGACCATTAGGAGGATAAAGATTCACATGACATACTTAAAGCCCCAGCAGCCAACTCAAAATACTCAGGAAAGGGTAACTTCTTCCCTTTAGCAGTCTCCTGTCCAACATCCATACTTGCCTTTCCCACTTTCTCCATCTTTCAGAGTTACTTCCTACCTCAATGCCTCTCCATTCTGCTTTTTCCGAAGTTTTGGTTTAATTAATCTAAAACTGTCAACGGGAACATCTTTCTTTTCTTTCTCAGAGAAACCTTCAGCCAGTTTCATCTCACACACAACTACAACATGAGTTACAGTTTATAATAGTGCCCACATGTAATTGTGCAAGCTGCCTTCCTTTGTGCTGATGAAATGAAACATACATCTAGGGTCAGAGGCTTGAGTCAGGCATACTGTCCCTTTTTATTCCTGCCTCATGGGTTTCCAAATGTTGGGACCAGAAGAGAGGGCACTTACATTTGCCTCAGATTCTGGGTCGGCTTCTCGGGGTCCTTGTTCATGGGGCTCATGTCGGTTACCTAGGTCTCCTTCAGCTTCATCTTGGTGCTGGTTTTCTCTTTCATAGGCTAACAAATCAAAGAACTGAGATCAGCCCAAAATGAATCAAACAGGATTTTCCCCTTTCAACTCAAAGTAACTCCAACAGTGGGCCTTCCTGGAGACCCTATCACCCACTCCCTCCTCTGGCTCAGTTAACTCAATGCACAGCATCCCAGATTTTCTGAATAGCTTTGTCTTTTCCAGGACTGTATGTCTAAAGAGATAGTGTGGGGGAATTCAATACACCCTTTTAAAACAAATGTCATTAACAGAAGCTGCATTTTTCCCATTGTTAGGAAAGAAAACAATCAAAATTTAATAAAACAACTCTAGTCCATTGGACATTGCTAAAATAATCAACTAATTTTTGGTTAATACCAGAGGAAACAGGAAGTTTCCCAAAGAAGAAACGCCATTAGGAAATAAAAGAAAAAAAACACCTCAGTGGTGAAACTCAAAAGTACAGACAGAACCACATACAGCCTCCTGTGCTGAAGGCTGTGGTGGGGTGGGAAGGGCTGAGTGGCAGGAGAGAGCTGCCAGGTCTGTGGCACAGCAAAGAATAAGGATAGTTCTAGGACAGGATGGAATGGCATAGGCAGCTGACAGGAGCAAGTGCTCAGCAGGGCATCTGCCACTGGCCCCAGTGCAAACATGTCCCTCTGCTACTGCACCTCCTCAGTCTCCTCTACAGTAGCCACGGCCAGGCCTTGTGCCCACCAGGGCCCTGAGAATCCACAAGTCTCCACTCCAGTGTTTCAGAAGGTGCAACAGGCTGCCTCGCCATGTTTTGCAGACGTGCTGGAACACTTGTGTTACATCTGGTCATCAAGGCTCTCCAGTGTGATTTCATCAGTGGCACCTGTTCTACCTTCCTCTTCCACACTCTGGGTCTCCTTTAAAACACGCCTGCTGACTCGCCAGCCCTCAGTCCAAGAGTCAAGATGTGTTGAGATGCTGGCTTACGTAGTCTTGAAGGTGACTCACAAAGTCCTCTGGGCCTTGGCAAAGGGGTGTCCACTGCTAAATGCCTTCTTTTGGGTCACAGTTCTCTTGCAGAGCACTCCTTTGATAACCAGTCATCTCTTGCCCACCCTTTCAGCTCCCGAGGACACACAGGCATCAGAAGTGGTGGGAGCATAGTAGTTTCCCCTCATCTGTGGTTTTAGTTATGTGCAGTCAGCCCTGTTCCAAAAGTATTAAATTGAAAATTCCAGAGATAGATAATTCATAAATTTTAATTTGTCCATTATTCTGAGTTGTGTGATGAAATCTCACATTGTCATGCTCCATCCAGCCTGGGAGGAGAATCATCTCGGTTCAGCATATCCAAGCTGTGTATGTCACCTGGCCATTAGTCACTGTTATCAGATCCACTGTTGGGGAATCATAATGCTGGGGTTCAGGTAACTTATTTTACTTAAAATTTGTTCCAAAGGGCAAGAGTAATGATGCTGGCATTTCAGATGTCCCAAAGAGAAGCCATAGAGTGCTTCTTTAAACTGAAAATGTAAAAGTTCTTAAGAGAAAAAAAAAGGAAAGAAAAAACTGTGCGCTAAGGTTTCTATGATCTGTGGCAAGAATGAATCTTCTATCTGTGAAATTGTGAAGAAAAAAGAAATTCATGCTAGTTTTGCTGTCACACCTCAAACTGTAAAAGTTACAGTCACAGTGTGTGATACAGGCTTAGTTAAGATGGAAAGAGGCATTAAATTGATGGGTGGAAAACGTGAACAGAAAATGTGTTCTCACTGATGGCGATGTGTTGCATCTCAGGGCACTGGGCCTACAAGAAGATTTTAGCCAGATCTCCCCTGAAATGAGTGACATTAAACCATTCACAGGAACTAACGGTAACACTGACACTAAGCCATTTACTGCAAGTAACAGATTCAGGAATAGGGTTGAACTGAAAACTATATAAATTACTAGACAGGCTGATGAAGATGCAGCTGCCACACTTCCAGCAGAGTTAGAGACACTGATGAGAAACGATACCGGCCAAAGCAAGTGTTGAACTGAGATGACACCAGTCTCTTCTATAGGGAGAGGCCCCAAAAGAGTCACATTCATGAAAGTACAAAGAAGGCCCCAGGGCATAAAACATGGGAGATCATACTTGATGAAGAAGTGAAGAACATATAGTACTGAAGGCCATCAAGCAGTGTTAACAGATGAAGAATTTAGAAGAATCTGTTGGTCACTTACAAGGGAAGATAAAGAGGAAGAACTAGGGCCGGGGATTTAGCTCAGTGGTTTCAACGCCTGCTATGCAAGCACAAGGACCTGAGTTCAATCCCCAGTACCCAAAAAAAAAAAAAAAAAAAAAGAGGAAGAACTAAGCAGAGCCAGAAATGTATACATTATCAAAATCTGCTGAGAGGTTTCAAACTATACTGACATCAAAGGACAAAACTATGAAATATGATTATTGAACAGAAGCTGCATTCAAGTGGCCCAGATGATCAATGAAGCCTCCCTAGCAATGTTTTTATGAATTAAAGAGACAACAGTTTCAAGTTACAATGTTCTTCCAAAACATTCCAGCAAAAAACAAAAGAAAAGCTTCAATTACTACAAAGAAACCCCACCCGTTACCTTCAGGGAATTCATCTTGGTGTGGGGTAGTGTTTAGCAAGCTATCCAGGGCCCTCACCAGGTGCTGAGGCTGTGGAGCAGACTGTACTGTAACCAGAGCATCCGTCACTGTGCCTTGACAGTGCTTTCTGAGAGTAGCAGAGTTCCTGATTAGGATGGGATGGAATGAAGCACACTTAACTTGTCCCCAAGGACTGCTCTTTTTCTTCTGGTTTTTTTTTTGGTGGGTAGGTATCTTAGAGCCATAAAAATACAGAGCTCAGTAAAATGGGAAGTAACAACATCCTTCAATAGTGTTGCACACTATAAATTTTCCATAACTCTGTTAAATACCCCTAATAAGCAAATTTACTTTCCAAGCTGGACTCGTCTAAGTCATTCTTTGAACTGTTGGTGCCTCTCTCAGATGTTTCTTTCATATCTGCTTGGGAAATTTACAGAACAGCAATACTGTCCACTCCTGACATTTAATCACTGACACGGTCATGGCTTGATGATCTTCCTTCTGATGCTAGTAGTGCTAGTAGGTCAATAGTAGCCTAACAGTACATTACAGTGCCTATGTCAAATGCTTCACTTCATCTCATCGTGTAGGCAGTTGATGAGCTCATATTAACACAGCAAGAGGATGATCCATCTTCAGATGTGTCCCTGGTGCTGGACTCTACCGTGACACTCTCTACTCTTTGAAGCAGTATTTCTCGCAAAGCCATCCCCCACTGCCCTAAAGTTGATCACACTGGCATCAGGCTCTTACTTGGTTCCAGGGAGCCACATGTTGTCTATCACAGTGATCGACATGCACAATGATAGCAGGAGAATATGGCTATAAGAGCATCTACACAGTCCTGAGGAATATCTATCACAGCAAGGAGTATGGAGGCCTCTTCACTGGCACTCTCCTTTACTATGGCTCCCTTTCAGGAATTTACCTGTTTTGCAGCCCAACAAAAAACAGTACCCTACAAACAGTCGTATGCCACTTTATTCCTGTTGTAAATTTCAGTTATGGACTATCTGCTGACAGTCTGGCCTGGCAGGCAACTCAACCTGCATATGCTTTCAAAATTTATATGCCACTTTCCCCAGCAAGGTTTCCCTGGATTTGGACAAGCAGTGACACTTGTGTTTGAAGACTAGGGCCTGCATGGCTCCTTCCAAGGAGGTATCTCTCAGACTGTTATGATTTATGTATGGATGTGCCCTCATAAGGTCAAAGGCAGGGCTCAGGGAAGGTGACTGGATTTATGGGGGCACTACAGCTGGTGTGGTGTTGGGAGGTGGGGCCTGACCAGAAGGTATGGATTACTGGGGGCATGACCTGGTAAAGTGTGTACTCTCTTTCTGGTTCCTCCCTTTTCTCTCTGCTTCCTGCCTGCCATGATGTGAGCAGCTCTCCTCTGCCATGCCTCTGCCATGCTGCCCTACCTTGGAGCCAGCTGACTATGGACTGAAACATGAAGCAAAATAAACCTTACCTCCCTTAAGTCATGGGTGTCAGGTTATTTGTCTCAGCAACAAGGGAAGTACTGAGACAAAGACTCTGCAGAATTCTGATGACAGAAATGGTGTGGACAGTCTAAAAAGACACAATGGGCAACACAGGCCTGAAGTCCTGACAAGAGAGGACTGGAAAAGGATGGAATCTATTGCTCTGCTTGCTTCCTGCCAAGGGGTGCTTCATCTCACATTCTAGAGTGGGATCAACTCTTGACTGAAAGCAAAGCAGACACATTGTTACCTTCAGTTCCCATCCAGTGAAGAGAAAAAACCTGAGTGGAGCTTTTAGTTCTCCCAGAAGAGGAGTCATCAGTACACACAGCACACTGGGGAGTTGGGAGAAAGGCTCATAGACCCTGCAAGTTCTGCCTGAAGGTCATTTCCAGAGAGAGGTCAGCCAGATGAATCCACCTCAGTCACCCAACTATGCCACAAGGGGTCATTTTGTGGACACATTTTTGGGCAAGGAATCACAATCCAGAGAAGCTGCTGGCCTCTTGCTCTGTGTAAGGAGCTCCAGCCGGAGAAGGCTGAATCTGAGGAGAACAGTTATTGTCATATGCCTGAAGACTGTGTTTGAGTTGATGCAGAAGGAAGAATAGATGTCACTATTATTTAACTGGCTCCTAATCAACTTCTCAGAGGCTCTGGAGAATGGGAACAGTGACTTCCTAGCCTCTAAGTGTCCAAAGAAAACTGTTTGCTCTTGGCCCCTGTACCATTTCAACTCTAAGCTGTTCTCATCTTTTTTCTTTTACAACTGAAGTGTAAATGAATAAAATGAAGCACTTTGCCATGAAAAAAACCAGCCCTCTGTCACAACAGAGACACATTGAACGCTTATATTGATGCAGATGTATTCTTGCTGCTTTTGGAAAAAAGTATTTAGACAATGAGAACTGTAACAGCACACAAGAATTAAGAACAAATCACTTTTTTTTTTTTTGGTATCAGGGATCGAACTCGGGACCTTGTGCTTGAGGCAGGTGGTGGAACCACTGAGCTAAATCCCCAGCCTCCAGAACAAATCACTTTTGAAGGAAAGTAAGATAAAAGAGGGAAGGTTGAATATATGGACAGTGTTCAGTCTACAGAAAATACAGAGAGTAATTTACAAGTGCATAGAGGAATTAATTAAATAAAGAAGGGGAAAAAACTGTTCTCTAGTCTGATGACAGCACAAAAGAGCTTAAAGTATCCCCTGGGGAACATAAGGAAAACAATTTCTTGACTCTTTGGGCTATAAAATATCACAACAAGCTACTGAGGGAGTGTGGGTCATCACCTCCCTTTAGACTCCTCTTAGAAAATGATTCCCATCTAAGCACCAGAGGTGCCAGGGAGACAGTTACTGTCTAGCTCTGTTACCACAGCAAGCAACATTTGACAAATTACATACCAGACCTCTACCATAAAGGAAAGCTATTGTTGACTTAATTTTAAAACTTCTGAGACAATGATGCAGAGACTTCTAAGGTAAGAAGAAAATGTAGAAATTTTCCCAAAGCATAATAACCCTATGATGATTTGTCAGAAATAACTTTTTCATATAAAAAAGATTAAACCATAGAGGAGGGAGATTATCCTGACCAGTTTTTGCTACTAGTATGCACTCTTAGAAAGGATCAAGACTAATTCAATAACAACCACAGAAGCATGGTTCACAAATGTTTTTTGCACCTACTCAGGTATGCTTTTAGCTTCTTGGTGTTATGTAAAATTGGCTCACTGGTATTGTATAATGTTACCAAGCACTTTTCTTAAAACATTCATCATCCAAGAAGTCTTACCGCCTCCTTCCTCTTCTTGCACTCCCTGGTCCTCTGGCCCCCGAACAATATCATTATCCACAGCGTTATAATGAGCTTGCTGCCTGTCAGGGACACAAACATATAAATTCAGTGGCACAGGTCATTTATCTTTCAAGATAGTAATAAACAAGGTTTTTCAACATTTTTTAAAAAGCCATAATTTAAAAAAATTTTTAGGTACATGAGAAGATAAAATAATAAATATATGCTTTCAAAAAGGGTAGTAGTTCTTTCGTGATAAGAAAAAAATAGGGTGAACATAAAGCCTGCTAGGCTATTTTGAGACCTAAACTATCACTCTTAAACAGTAAAACTTTTAGTTATATTTGAAATTAAATATCTGGCATTTAATTCTCAAGTCATTGTTCTATTTTGGCTACGTGAGCAATATGAGCCACTCATGTTCATGCAACACCAATACACAGTTGTGTTTCGTTTGTTTGTTAAACCAACCCAGGAGGGCTACCTACACCCATCCGGTGAAGGGGAAGGGGAAAGGGAAGGCTACCGTAGCTGCTCCTGGTGCTGCTGCTGGCCCTTCTTGTGCCCAGCCTCCCTCTGCTGAGCCATCTCTCTGGCCAGAAGCTGCTGCTCCTGCTGTTGCCGCTGCCATAACAGTTGTCCCTGCAGCCTCTGCTGGTGCAAGGCTTCCTGGCGTTTTCGCAGCCGCTCGGCCTCCTCATCCCTTCTCACTGCCAGTCTCTGCTGCTCCAATTGCTCCTCGTACAAGGACCGGAATTTGGTAACCAGCTTGGCTGAAGGGTGTGCCTGGGGCAAAAATGAGTTAATGCTGAGCAAAAGGAATCAGCCCCACAGAGTTTTGCCTTCATTCATCTCATGACAAACTCAGAAGGACAGTTGGTTTAGTAACACCTGTTTTTCAGATGAACACGTAAAGTCCAAGAACTTCTGTTTCCCAACCTTCTCTAAATTGCCCTTGGCTTCTTTTGGGAGCTGATCTTCCCAATTGTCGGACATTAAGGCAGACTTTGAGTATGCTCCTTGTTCAAAATGGTACAGAAGGCACAACATAAGAAATCAGCTTCAAACCATAATTAAATTTATGTTCACAAGCTTCTGCGATAGCCAGGCACTTTGTAACCTACACTAATTGGGCCATTTGTGCAGCTAAGGCTTTTTCCATGAAGAGTTAAAGACCTAGGAATTAGCTAATTAACTCCAGCAGTGTAAATACCAATCTCAAGCTAAGCAGAGCCAAAATAAATGTCAAATTCCAGATTACAGTGGGAAAGCAGAAAACTGATTTTCTTCAAAGAAATACAGGAATAGGTAAGAAGATAGTATCATTTGATTAAAGGAAACTAGGATACAGCAATGTTTAAAACTCTGCTTTCCACTGAACTACACTCACTATCTTCCTCACCTGGCCAACTAGCACAAGCACACACAATTCTGAACAAAGGAAAGAGAGCATGGAATTGAGGGGAATTAAAGCAAGTGGAGAACTGCTATCCTTAGTGAGGGAGGGCACAAACTAACAGAGGCATCTGAGGCTACATTTGCAACTATGTAACACGGCAGCTATAGAGGCCGCTGCACCTACGTAGCCTAAAGCCTCAAGCAACTCTAAGTCTCTCTGAACCCAAAGCATTAGTTATAAAGAGGTAATCACCATCCAGGCAAAAGCCAGGTGACCTGTCACTAGGTATTAGTTTAGAGGTAGTAGAAGAAAGGAACCTAGTTGCATCCAGTGTTTCTGCTAATGTACTGCTTATAGTAATAGCCAGTTATTTTTTTTAAAAAAGGACAAGTTTTACTTATGTGTGAGAAGCATCAGAGACGGAGCAGAAACTGGTTAAACAGTCACCTAATAAAATATTCCCATGTGATAAAGTAGCTTTTTTATGGGACAGGGTTTTCCTATGTAGTTCAGCAAGCTGACCTTGGACTCACTATGTAGCTCAGGCTTGCCTAGAACTCACAGTGATCCTCCTTCCTTAGTCTCCCGAGTGCTGCAATTACAGGCATGTGGCACTATGCCCAGCCTTAGTCAAGCAGCTTCTGATAAAAACTGTTTTACTCACTGTTGAAGGTGAATGGGCAAATGCTACCACACTAGCTGGCTCTACATAAACAGAAAGAGGGGGACTCCTGATCATAAAAAAAATCAAGATGGGCTGGGGATTTAGCTCAGTGGTTCCACTGCTTGCCTTGCAAGTGCAAGGACCTCAGTTTGATCCCCGGAACCAAAAAAAAAAATCAAGACTTTTCTACCTCAAGATACTCAAGATGGAACTTGAGCACATTCTGGCATAGTGACTGGTAAGGTGCTCACCTATTCCACTCTGTCTGAGGGACAGGAGGAGAAGCCTCTGTGCACCACTGACAAGAAGAATCACACACACGCCAGCTGCAACTACTCTTGTCACCCACCATCTTTCAGAGGCACACAAGTAGCAATGCTATTAATATTACAATAATAAATTTAAATACATGCACATTACATTTAGTGAAATACTCCAATTTTTAAAAAGCTTGTAAAACACGAGAAGGATTTTTTCTTTACTATTAAAAGTAAAGCTATGTTTTCCAACTGGATGGACTCTGAGTGGGTGGCCCGAACCTCAGCATGAGCACGCCCTTCCAGCAGGTTGGCTGCTTCCTTCTGTTCATGCAGCTCTCTCCACTCGCGGTCCTGCTCTTCTGGCGATGGATCATGTTCTTCCTCGAGATGTTCAGCCTGCCCAACCTGCTCCATTTCCTCCTCTTCCAGGGCCTTTCTGTGCTCTTCTTCCACCTGGTGCTCCTCTGGCTCTCTTGGTTCCATTTGGTGTGGGTTGTACTCTGCTGCAGCCTGGAATTCTACACCCTTCTGGGTGGGAGGATAAGGTTTCATTTCTTCTGCTCTTCCAGGCATTCCTTCTTGTTTCTGCCACATATCACTGTTTCGAGACACCTAGGCCAAGTAAATCATGAGAAATGATACTCTTGCATTTCAAAAGTAGCATATAACATCTTTATGACCATGTGTACAGGGCTATAACCAAAGCAAACTTCTAGAGTCTAGAAATATAGATTGTCTTGACTTAAAAAGATAGATACAATAGTCACAATTATACTGTGTAATCTCATCCACAAAATAGAGATGATATAGGCAAAATTTCATCTCAGCAGGAATACAATTGGTAACCTGGACAGAAAAGCCTGTAAGTGTCCACAGCTCAGATGCAAACTTTTCCCTCAAAAGCAATCTAACTCCTACTTTCCCTTAGAATAAAATAGAAAAAACTCTCAAACTTCAAGTGATGAAATGGTTACAATACTTTCTCCAAAGTCAAGTTTGTTTCCAATAATTATTTGAAAAGAGAAGGATAAGAACCAATGAGAGGACTTGGGTTTATTTTTCATTAAAATTTTTTTAAATGTCGTTACTAATAGACACCATGTTTAAAATCGTGCTAGCTAAGATACAATAAAGTATTCTTAATGTATTAAAACAAATTCCTTTGTAAGCCAGTCTTTTGTAAATATTTTGTATTGTCCAACATATCAGAATCTATGGGACACAATGAAAGCATTTTTAAGAGGGAAATTCATAGCAGTGAAT